TCAGGCCAGTGGGTAGGGCACTTGCCCTGCATATCTGACCCAGGTTCTATCCCTAGAACCTCACGTAGTCCCTGACCCCCACCAGGAGCGGTGATCCCTGAGTTCAGAGCCAGGAGTAAGCCCTGAGCACTGTGGGATGTGGTCCAAAAAGAAAATAAGAACAACAAAAATAAAATAAATGAGGCATAGTTGAGATTAGGGAGGTTCAAGAGATCTCTGGCACTGTATATGGTTCCCCCTGGCCTTTGCCAGAAGTGATCCCTATAGTGCAGAGCCAGGAATAAGCCAGGAGCACAACCAGGTATGACTCAAAACCCTACCTCCCCTAAAAAAAGAAAGAAAATGTCATTTCACTCTCACAATGAGGAATAACTAGAGAATCTACAAAAACCATAGTTATTTGAACCCCTGAGAAAGCTGAGGTCACAAGGCAAATTTAGCTCTTCAAGCAGAAGGAAGGTGCCACTGAGTTTCCACCAGCACGAAACACAAGGCCAAGAAGCTGCGGTGAGCAATTCTAATGGAAATTTCAAGGTTGGCAGGTCAGTTTACTGACCTGCACTGCAGCACTGTCCTCCCGTTGTTCATCGATTTGCTCAAGTGGGCTCAGTAACATCTTCATTTTGAGACTTGTTGTTACTGTGTTTGGCATATTGGCAAATACATCACGGGTAGCTTGCCAGGCTTCGCCATGCGGGCGAGATACTCTCGGTAACTTGCCGGACTCTCCGAGAGGGGCAGAGGAATCAAACCCTGCTCGGCCAGGCTAGCTGCGCACAAGGCAAACGGCCTACCACTGTGCTATCACTCCAGCCAGGTCAGTTTACAATAGCTGGAAATGATTTTAGACAAGAGACTTGGCACTGGCAGGCAAGAGTTCCCCAACATTCTCACTGTGGAAGAGAAAATGGGAGCAGGGCAGGATATGGACGCATGTTGCCCCCTGGAGGTGCAGGCAGGCAGGAGCTGATGGTGGGACAGCCACTGCCACCCGCTGCTGATCTGGCTGTTTCCAGGTCTTTCCTGGGAGTCCTGCCCTTGCACCATAGGACACAGCAATAATCTCTCGCTTTGGAGGTGGAATCACAGCAAACTCCTGCTTCAAACTTGTACTAGTACTAGGGTAAAAACCTTGTAAACCAGGCAAAGACCCCTGCCTAGGGTAGATGGGACCAAGGTGGAATCTTTCCTCCAAGCAGAGAAACAGGGACAATATCTGTTTGTCTTAAAGAAAGTTTAAGCGAAGCTCTGTTCTTAAAGGGAGAGAGAGTAAGACCCTGTCAAGCACAAGCCCATGTAGATACAGAAGGACAGGTTTGGCTGGTATAAGGAGGAAAGAAGAAATGCTGAGAAATCAGGGCCAGCATGACAGTAAGCTGACAGGGCACTTGGCATGCTTACGATTGAACCAGGTTCTATTCCTGACACCTCACATGTTCTCTGAGCCCCACAAGAAGTGATCCCTGAGCTCAGAGCCATGAGTAAGCCCTGAGCACTGTGGGATGTGGTCCAAAAAAACAACAACAACAACAGCAATAACAAAAATAAAGGAAGGGCTGGAATAACAGCACATCGGGTAGGCGTTTGCCTTGCACGTGGCTGACCCGAGTTCAATTCCCAGCATCCCATATGGTCCCCCCAGCACCGCCAAGAGTAATTCCTGAGTGCAGAGCCAGGAGTAACCCTGTGCATCACCGGGTATGACCCAAAAAGCAAAAATAAATAAATAAATATAAAAATAAAATAAATTAAGGAGGAATAGTTGAGATTAGGGAGGCTCAAGGGAAGCCCCTGTAACTGATCTTGCTGCTCTTTCTGGGTGTGGCTCAGGGTCTACTGCAGCCCCCGTGGCACCCTGACCCCATGTGAGCCCAGCACCAGAGCACAAACCACAGCTTCCCATTGGTGGCAGCCAGGCACTGGGCAGGGAGGGCTTACAGTCATGGGTGACCCCACAGGAGCACAGCAAAACCCTCTCGCAGTAGCCCTCTGCCCTCTAAGCAGTATACTGCTAGCAAAATCTGAAGATGGCAGGCACAGAGCCCGGCCTGACTGATTCACCCCCACCTCACGCCTCACCCCTGTCCCGGAGCAACAGACATGAATACTTGCCCACAAAAGTTCTTTACTCAGCTCTGCCCATCTATGCAGGTTGGGCTCTCAAAAACATTTTATGAAACATAAAAGGGGGCAAGCAAAGAAAAAAAAAAAAGAAAAAGCCAAAGCCATTATCAACAGAGAGAAAGCAAGAGAACCAGACTCACAGATGTTGGAACTACCAGAGAGATATTTTATTGTGTTTTTTTTAAAGGGGTTAAGACTCAGGGCTGGAGTGATAGCACAGCTGGTAGGGCGTTAGCCTTGCACACAGCCGACCTGGGTTCGATTCCCAGCATCCCATATGGTCCCCTGAGCACCGCCAGGAATAATTCCTGAGTGCAGAGCCAGGAGTAACCCCTGAGCATTGCTGAGTGTGACCAAAAGAGCAAAAAAAGAAAAAGGGGGTTAAGGCTCTTGCCTTGCACAAGGTAACAGATTTGATCCCCCCAAAATATATATGGTCCCCTGAACGCCTTCAGGAATGATCCTAGAGCACAGAACCAGGAGATATCCCTGAATTCCTCTGGGTTTGGACCCAAAAAACAAACCAACAAAAAACAAACATACAGAGGAAAAAAAAACTATTTTCTGTGTGTGTGTGTGGGGGGGGGGGGGGTTGGGGAGCTATCTATTCCTCACCTAGTAGTCAGGGATCAAGGGACCTTGTGCTGGGGATTAAACTGGGCCATTCTTTTTTTTTTTCTTTGTGGGTCACACCCGGTGATGCACAGGGGTTACTCCTGGCTCTGCACTCAGGAGTTACTCCTGGCGATGCCTGGGGGACCATATGGGATGCTGGGAATCGAACCCGGTTGGGCCGTGTGCAAAGCAAACGCCCTACCCACTATGCTATCTCTCCAGCCCCAAACTGGGCCACTCTTGCATAAAAAAGCATGTGCTCCAGCCCACTGAGCAGAAAGGAACTTTTAAAATAATAATAATAATGACTGGTATGTTAAAGGGTCTAGTGGGAAAAGGTGGACATCTGCATGAGCAGATGGGGAATGTTGGCAGAGAAGTGGAAAGTGTGTCAAACAGACGTGCGAGACATAAAACAGAGGCCAGGGATGTAGCTCAGTGGTAGAGTATTTGCCTTGCGTGTCTCTGGCCCTTGGTTCGATCCCTGGCACCAAAAAAGAAAACAGAAAATCCATGTAGAAATAAAACAGATGTCAGAGATAAAAGTACTTCAACAGACTTTTCAACAGCAAGGCACAGCAGAAGGAAGAACCTCTGGACTTGAAAAGGATCACTAGAAATCCTCCAAACTGAAGCACAAAGAGAGAACAAAAGCGTACTAAGCATGTGGAGTTGTGGGATAGTGTCACACAGTGTCACTTGAGTCCCAGAAGGGGAAACTTGAGGACAGGGCAGAAGCAGGAGTTGAAGAAATAACGGTTATAGAAATGAGGATGTGACAGTAAGACCAGAGAGAGGTGATATGAGGAGCCTTCAGAAAATGACCCACTGGAACTTGGTGACCTGAGCGCAGTCAGGTGTGAAAGGGTGGGGAGAGTCAAGCCTGGATCTGGTTCGTCAAGCCAGAGTGGTAAGAAGGGTTGGAGTTGGGGTGGGGGTGACAGCCAGCTGGGGCCTCTGCACTCTGCTGCTGCCCCAGACTACCCCCTACAATCCAGACCAGAGCTTGGGCCTTATCAAGCCATCAAAGTGCTTTTTCCTTCCTTTCTCCAGCAGCTTCCCAAAGACCAGTGTCACAGAATGTGGCAAGCAAAGGTTTTTTTTCATGCCAAACAGACTCTTCTCCGTTCATGCTACCTGACCCACTTTTTGTTTCTTGAGGGGTAGGGGAACAGTCTGAGTCACCCCCAACAATGCTAGGGCTTACTCCTGCCTCTGTGCTCTAGGGGACTATGCAACCTGTGGTCAAACTTGGAGTTTGATTAAGCCCTTTGAGTCATTTTCCCAGCTCCAAGAACTAGGTTCTCTTTGGGGGCCATAATTGGCAGTTCTCAGGGACCATTCAAAGCGCTCGGTGGCGGCCGCATGGGAGCCTTGTGGAGAGCAGGTATGAGCCGGGGGGTGTGGGGGCGACGAAAACCTCATAGGAAGGGGGGCGTTCTGGCCCATTCCTCACGCCCTACCGAGGTCACCAATTGCCCCCCACGAGCGGCTCTCCGGCACGGCCACGGCCCCAGAAGCACAGAAACCAATCTCTTAATTATCTGACTTTTAGTAGAAATACTTCCAGGGTTAATAAGTAAAATAGTAGAAATCCAAAACCGCGCGGCCACCCACGCGACACTTAATTCTTGAACCCAGCCATAGAAAGCAAATCATTTCACAACGCCTTTTCAGCATGTCTGATTGGGGGGGGGGTAAACTCTAAATAATAATGGTGCATCTTTTATCAAACAATGAATCTAGTCAAAGTAGATAGAGTGTTAACTAGAATTCATCTGCCTCACAGGTATTGGGAGGAGTGGGAGGTGGGGCTTTATTGGGGTTCTTCGTGGTGAAAAATAAGTATTGGTAAAGGGAAATGTGATTGGTATTTGCATGACTGAAACCTAAACCTGAAAGCTTTGTAACTTTTCCCACAGTGATTCAATGAATAAATAAATTATTAAAAAAAAACAAAACAAAACAAAGCGCTCGGGACTGAATGCAGGTTGGCCATAGTGGGTATAGAAGGCAAGAGCTTTACCCACCATACTCTCTCTTCAGCCACAAGAATCAGGATTTTTTTTTTTGTGTGGGCTTGAGAAGTAGTAAAGCAGATAAGTGCTTGCCTTGTACGAGGTCAACCTGAGGTTTGATCCCCAGCATCACTGGTCCCCTAAGCACTGCCAGGAGTGATCCTGAGCATAGAGGCAGGAGTAGGCATGAAGGATTGCCAGGTATCCTCCTGTCAAAAGAAAAAAAAAATTAAAAGAACCATAGTAGCAGGTAGGATAATTCCTACCTGCTCCTCTACTCAGAAAGTAAATAGAACATGATGGTGGAGTTCACATGATTCATAATTAACAATTCTGCATGATTAGGTAGGGCTTGCAACACCTTAATAGCTCCTATCTAGTTCCTCTTGGAAAAAAAAAAAGAAGCAGGTTTGTTTGTTTAGTTTGGTTTTGGGGCCATGCGTGGCAGTGATTAGGGGTTACTCCTGGTTCTGCACTCAGGAATTACTCCTGGTGGACTCCAGGGACCATATGTGATGCTGGGGATCGAACTCAGCTCTGCAGCATGTAAGGCAAGCACTCAACCCCCAGTACTTCACTTCAGCCCCAAGAATTAGGGCTGCTGCTTTATGGGGGGGGGGCTTCTTTGGACCACATGTAGCAGTGCTCAGGGGATACTACTGATTTCATGTCAGGGGCTATTCCTGGTGGGACTTGGGGTACCACGTGGAGCTGGGGATTAAACCCAGGCTTCCTTCATAAAGAGAATGCACTACAACCCACTGTGCCATCTCTCCAACCCAAGAACCAATTTTCTTGGAAGTTTTTTCATAGGGCAGAGCAATAGTACAGAGGGTAGGATGTTTGTCTTGCAACCAGCTGACCCATTTGATCTCCAGGGCTTGCCAGGAGTGATTCCTGAGCACAGAGCCAGGAGTAACCCCTGAGAATCACTGTGTGTGACCCTAAACCCTAAAAAAAGAGTTCTTTCCTAGATGTGATAAGTACAAGGTGGGGGAGGCAAAAGCAGAGCTGAATGAGTGGGGTGTGTCTGCATGTGAGATTCAGAAACAATTTTTTTTGCCTTTTGGGTCACACCCAGTGATGCTCAGAGGTTACTCCTGGCTCTGCACTCAGGAATTACTCCTGGCGATGCTCAGGGGACCATACAAGTTGCTGGGAACTGAACCCGGGTCTGCTGCGTGCAAGGCAAATGCCTGACCCACTGTATTATTTCTCTGGTCCTTAGAAGCATTTTAAAGAAAAGGGCCAGGGGGACTGGGGAGATAGCTCGAAGGGCTCAAGCACATGCAAATTCAACCCTCAGCACAGCATTTTCTCCAAGCACTGCATTACAGCACCAGCCCCCGGGGCCAGGTGTTGTTTGTGAGAATAGCCAGGGTTGCTGCTTCCCTCTTCCCAATACAGGCCCAGGGCTCAGAAGATCATCACCCATCTTGCAAGTCTATGGTCATGAGTGCAAATCTCCAGTGTCCCCACGTGAATCAAGCATGATATGGGCAGCTCTGCTATCAGTGATGCCTGGTACTGTGAGGGCGAAACTAATACCGTGACAAGCTGGAGCAAACATTAAGTCTCAACTAGGCCTCTATTTCTGTTTCCCCGAGCAGGACTTGCAGTTTCTAGTAAACTCCCAGTTGAGTAATTTGCCAAGATAAGAAATTGGGCAATTGGGTCTGGCCGATCATGAGGGGTCACTGTACCCTCCTTAGAAACTGTTGCTAACCATTGCCTAATTGCTGACCACCATTGTAATAGGGCCAATGCTAAAAATAGATTAGTATATAAATTTCCTCTTCACTCTGAACCCTATATAAACTGCTTGTGATTTGGAATCGGGGTCCTTGTCAAGACTGCACTGTGTTGGATGAGACTTGAGCCCTAGTTCGAGCTAGCGCTGGCTCGGGCTAGTAATAAATTTCCTTTGCTTTTGCATTATCGTGTGGACCTGGGTCTCTCCGCGATTGGGGATCTGAAACTTGGGCACTACAGTACGCTGTAGCCAGGCATTTGGGAATCAAGGGAGGTGGCCCCAATGAGTCTCTCAATGAAAAAGATGTGCAAGTCCCAGGGCCAGGAAATGCAGCTTCTAGTCATTCACATGTGTGAGCACCACAGCAGCCTCTGAGACCGGTACCATAGTACCTCAGTGAAAAGTGCCAGCCCCCCCAAGCAGCAGGGAAGCACCGCAATGAAAGGGGTGCAAGACTCAGTAAGTACTGCAACCTGATGCCTGACTCAGGTGAGCACCACATCTTACAATATGCAAACACCAGAGCAACGTGTGTATGACCCCTGTCACTGCAGCAACGTGAACAATGACTGCAAAGGGAGGAAGCTGAGACACTGACTTCTGAAGGACAAACTACATCCTGTAGGAGGAGGGGACTTCAAGACAGATCAATTATCTTCAGTATGAGAAGAACATTCTAGAATAAAACTTGCTAGAATTGGCAGTGCTGTCTTTTTTTTTTGGTTTTGGAAATCACACCTAGTGATGCTCAGGGGTTACTTCTTGCTCTGCACTCAGAAATTACTCCTGACATTGCTTGGAGGACCATATGGGATGCCGGGGATTGAATCTGGGTCAGCTATATCCAAGGCAAGCATCTTACCTGCTGTACTATCACTTTGGCCCCTTGCTGCCTTATTCTTTTTTATTTTTTTCATTTTGGATCACACCCGGTGATGCACAGAAGGTACTCCTGGCTTTGCACTCAGGAGTTATTCCTGGCGGTGCTCAGGGAACCATATGGGATGCTGGGAATCGAACCCAGTTCGGCCGTGTGCGAGGCAAATACCCTACCCGCTGTACTATCACTCCAGCCCCATGCTGCCTTATTTATTTTTTTTATTAGTGAAACACCATGAGGTACAGTTGTAGACTTACAAAATTTTGTGCTTGGGTTTCAGTTATACAATGATCGAGTACCTACCCCTCCACCAGTGCCCATCTCCATCACCAGTGATCCCAGTATCCCTCCCAACCCCCCACAACCCCATCCCACCCACGCCACACCGCCTCTGTGGCAGGGCATTCCCTTTTGTTCTCTCTTTCCGTTAGGGTGTTGTAGTTTGCAATCGAGGTATTGAGTAGCCATTGTGTTTGGTTTATAGTCTACTTTCCATGCTGCCTTATTTTTTCTAGGTGGTGCCTATTTCAGCAAACACCTGATCATTCCCAGCAAATTGTCAGAGCCACCACAGCCAGTGCTCCTTCTCTTGGCCCAGTACTGTGGGACTTCCCTATGGCTGGGGCTGTCATTGAGAGGTAGTCCTTGTCTTACTATACAATCCAGGAGGGATTCCTGAGCACAGAGCCAAGAGTATCCTTGTCTTACTATACAATCCAGGAGGGATTCCTGAGCACAGAGCCCTGAGCATCACCGGGTGTGACCCCAACCTGGGCTCCTCTGAACACAGTTCATGAAACAGGGCTTGCATGTAGGTAGTTCATTTTAGGGAGTGAGTAAGAGTGAGAGGGCAGGAGAAAGTGCAAATTTCCAGCGACCCCATGTGTATCACACATTACATGAGAAGCTGCTATCTGTGATGCTTGGTTCAAGCCATCTGGCCACACTGCAGTAGGCATTTGAGAGAATCAAAAGGGAGATGGATTCTCTCACAGTCCACAAGGACAGATGTCTTGAGTGGTCCGTGGTGGGTAATTAGGACTCTGTCCCCCAAGAATACTTCTGAGAGTCATAAAGATTGCAGCTCAAGAGGGCTGGAGTGATAGCACAGCGGGTAGGGCATTTGCCTTGCACGTGGCTGACCTGGGTTTGATTCCCAGCATCCCATATGGTCCCCTGAGCACCGCCAGGAGTAATTCCTGAGTGCAGAGCTAAGAGTAATTCCTGTGCATCGCTAGGTGTGGCCCAAAAAGCCAAACAAAACAAAACAAAAAAGATTGCAGCTCAGAATTTGTCCATTGAGTGATGGGGGAAATCTGGGGTACATGTCCATGAGTGATTATTCTTCATTGGTTGGAGTTTTCCCTTTGGGAGTGCAGCCCTGAATGGAATGAAAAAAAGCCTCCAGCAGAAAGGAAAGGTGTGGGTGTGCCCCAGAACTGGCATGGTAGCTGCAAATGGCCACAGAAATGGCTGGAGAAATGTGAGACAGGGCATCAAAACCAGCTGCCTATGGCTGGGCCAAAGAGAGAATACAATGATTGAGGCACTTGCTTGCAAGGGACTCAGCCCCAGTTTAATTCCCAACATCCCTAGGAGAGACTGCTAAGTAGAGAGCCAGGAGTCGCCCTGAGCACCTCCAGGTGTGATCAAAAACCAAAAAACCCCAGCAGATCATAGTTTCTTTCCTGCCCTGCCCAGGACCACCTTGCAGGGGCGCTGTGAGACCTTGGATTTTCCCAGACGACTTCTGGGCCAGTGTTTTTGCTGCCTGGCTAATTGAGCATGGTCTGGTCTGAAATGCTCGCTCCCAGCTCCCCAGTGCTCAAGTGTTCCTTCTGGACCCAGTCCTCCCCCCCCACTCCCACTAAGGGAGCCGAAACAGTGGCTCTCCAGCCTGGCTCTTGTTCTATTTATACATATGAACTTGGAACATGGTGACATTAGGGACACTGGCCTCATTGTCCTCTCTATGCGGTGGCCAAGGTCAGGACAGGTTGGAAGCTGGATGAACTCCAAGTTTTCTTTGCTGATGGCTTCATTATTTTTTAAGAAGAAAAGGTTAAGAACTGACTAAGAACTCAGAGATCCAGAGAGAACTTACTCCAAGCTGTGGGTGCACTTCAAAGCTGGGAAATCATTGTACTCATATTGGAGGCTGGGTTCCTAGCCAGGCCTGGGGGGCAGGGCGGGGGAGAGGGGCTTCCCACCATGTTGATCTCACATTCTTCCTCCCTTCCTTGCCCCAAACTGTTACTTACTGACTTTCCAGCCTGTCTCTTTTCTCCTCATAAATGTTAGATTATTCTCATCATCACTGATGTCCACAACCGGTGCTTAGTAATTTTGCCTTATTTCCTACTATTCAGAGTTCTGATGTTCAGTTTCATTATCAGGGACTGGTAGCTGAAAGTAGGTCTTTATGATGAGCGATTATTTTTGTATTTTCCCCTTTTGGGGGGTGGGTTTGGGGGCTACACCCAGCAGTGCTTAGGGGCTATTCCTAACTCCTGGCTCAGGAATCACTCCTGGTGGTGCTTGGACAATATGCAGTGTCAAGATCAAACCTGGGGTAGCTGCATGCTAAGGCAAGGGCCTTAACCCCTGTACTATCCCTCCAGCCCCATATGAATTTTCCTAGGGAGGCAACCATAAGGGGCTAGGGCAAGTGTGTGTGTGTGTGTGTGTGTGTGTGTGTGTGTGTGTGTGTGTGCTGGGGGGTGGGGTTTAATTTTACCTATTAGCTTA